AAAATTTCCCATATAAGGTAAAAAGGATTTTTTTTAAAGAAAAAGAAAAGAAAATGAGAAACTAGTAAAAGGAAAAGGAAAAGGAAATAAAAGAAAGGCAAAAGAAAGCATAAGAAATTAACGCTACCACCAAGAGAAAAGAAAGGCAAAAGAAATAGAGGAGTATATTCAAAATTACACGGATACAAAGGAAGAGGAGAGTTAAGAATATAACATATCAGAAGATATTGATACGAATTAAGCCAATGAAATTACATTGAATAAGAGAATTCAAATCTCTATCTATAAAAGGCAGGATGTGTGTGTGTGTGTGTGTGTGTGTAACGAATGCACGGCCGCAATTTTCGACGGATTTGCACCAAAATTTACATGCACATGCTCCAAGTTAGTGGGAAGGCTAAGACCGACGTTGCATTTCCCAACTCCCATCGATAGTGGAAATAATCGATTTTTTCATGCTTCTACGCCAGTTTTCATGTAGTTTGCGGCCATTTTCTACTGGCCAGAGTGAGAGCCTATAGCTGGCTGCCACGAATAGGCAGGAAGATTCTATTGGCCAGCGTGAGAGCCAACAGCTGACTGACACGAATATTAACTAGCATGCAAAAAAAAAATCGATAGCTGCATTCGTCACAAGTAGGAAAAATTTAAATCTGCATGGCACTTTACTCCAATTGGCTCATTCGCTTGCTTAAACTCAACGTTGATTCTGATTCCGCAGAACTGGGTTGGATGTGAAAAAGTATTTGTTGTTAACATTCTTTTTTCATTCGGTTTTTCCAGTTACGAGTCCTTTTTTAAAGCTGATCGTTTTGTGTTGATTTTGTTTAGTTCTTTTTTCGTAAAATATTTAATGTTTAGTATAGAGCTTAGAAAAAAATTCGCAGTGTGAGATAGGCAAGACGTAAAGCATGTAGCAACATCAGCACGGCAAATGGCACTCCTTTAAAGGCAATGAAGGAGAAAAATATTTTAAGTCAAGTGATAACGATTGCTGTATGAGTCGTACGATTTTTGAATCAAGCACGGGCAACGCCGGGCCATGCTGCTATATATATATATATATATATATATATATATATATATATATATATATATATATATATATATATATAATCGATTACTAAAGTTGCTGGGAAAATTGTCAGCTCCAGGCTTAAGTGTCATATTATACCAAATTGGAGTAAATACGCCATATCTGATTTGTCTGCTTCAAGTTGAAAAATTGAGGACATTAGTAAGGATCAATATATATAAAATCATTTTATAGTTGAAACAACTAGAAGTAACCCTAAGTTCTATGCTGACAGTTTCTTCTCTCGCACTTTTTGCTTTTGGAACTGTTTTCCAGTTTCCTGCTTCGCAATTATCATTGAGCTTCAATAATTTAAATGCAATGTCAAAGATTACCTTCCGCCTTCTTAATACCTGTTCTTTTATTGTCCTCTCTCTTTAATAGTAGTTTTCCTTATATTCTCTTGAACTCAGTAATCCCCTTGCGTCTTAGTTGCTTTATTCTCTTGCCTTCAGTGAAGTATTTTTTTTTTTTTAATCCTGAATTCTTTCTTCTTACAAAGACCATTTAGCAATAACATTCGCTTTTCTACAAATGTCGATTGCATTCAGAATATGTCCAGCTATATTTAATGTTATAAGGGGAAATATTTCCCTACAAATTGGACTCGGACGTCGGACGAAAGACATAAAAATATTCCTACATCAAGAGGAGTAGCAGCAGGAGCAGTAGCCTTTGATGAAAACAGTCATTCATGGCTAAACAGTGTCTTCCCTAGTTTCTACATTATGTTTCCCTGTACCAAAAGGTAATAAACTTGTTAAACAATTTCCGGTTTTCTACTGTTGTTTTTGATGACTCAGTTACAAAACTTATAATAGCTTAATTCTTCTTTAATATGACAAGGTGGTCGTGGCTCACCACATCTTCCTGTCGTTCAAGGCTATTTTTACGGTTCCACTTTGTCACTGGTCTGACATATATCTACAAAGTCACATAAAGTTGCTTTCCCAGTTTATATCTTGCCTTCACTATCTCCTGTGTGAGTTAAACCTGCTCGGCCGTCTTTCCTCATTATGTGTTTCATTATACAAATTTCCTTCTTATTCCTATTTATTTATTCCTATAGGGTGAGGAATCAAACAAGAAAGAAATAAAGAAATAAATAAAGAAAAGTGCCAAATAGAAAGAAAAAAAAGAAAGAAAGGAGATGAGTCGAAAAAGAAAGAAAGAAAGAAAGAAAGAAAGAAAGAAAGAAAGAAAGAAAGAAAGAGAAAAGTGTCAATTAAAAAGAAAGGAAAGAAAGAGAAAAGAAAGAAAGAAAGAAAGAAAGAAAGAAATGGAGATGAGTCTCAAAAGAAATAAAGAAAGAAAAGTGTCAAATAAAAATGAGAGGAATAAATAAAGAAAGAAAGAAAGAAAGAAAGAAAGAAAGAAAGAAAGAAAGAAAAGGGTCAAATATAAAGAAGGATTAAGAATCAAATAAGAAAAAAGAAAATGAGTCGAAAAGAAAGAAAGGTGATGCGTTGAGAAAGAAAGAAAGAAAGAAAGAAAGAAAGAAAAAAGAAAGAAAGAAAGAAAAGTGTCAAATAAAAAGAAAGGAAAGAAAGATAAAAGAAAGAAAGAAAGAAAGAAAGAGAAAAGTGTCAATTAAAAAGAAAGGAAAGAAAGAGAAAAGAAAGAAAGAAAGAAAGAAAGAAAGAAAGAAAGAAAGAAAGAAATGGAGATGAGTCTCAAAAGAAATAAAGAAAGAAAAGTGTCAAATAAAAATGAGAGGAATAAAGAAAGAAAGAAAGAAAGAAAGAAAGAAAGAGAAGGATAAAGGAGATGAGTCGAAAAAGAAAGAAAGAAAAGTGTTAAATATAACGAAGAGTGAGAAAGAAAGAAAGAAAGAAAGAAAGAAAGAAAGAAAGAAAGAAAGAAAAGTGTCAAATAAAAAGAAAGAAAAAAGAAAGAAAGAAGTGTAAAATAAAAAGAATGGAGAGTATTCAAACACGGAAGAAAGAAAGAAAGATAGAAAGGATGAAAGAAAGAAAAAGAAAGAAAAGAAAAGGTCAAATATAATTAAAGAAAGAAAATGCGATGAGTTGCAAAAGAAAGAAAAAAAAGAAAAGTGTCAATTAAAAAGAAGGGAGAGGAATCAATCAATAAGTCAGTCAGTAAAGAAATAAATAAATAAATAAAGAAAGAAAGAAAGAAAGAAAGAAAGAAAGAAAGGGAAATATAAAGAATCAAAGAAGAAAGAAAGTATTTTATCAAAGGAAAAGTCGATAAAATCGTGAAACCAGACAAGATTTCAACAAAGATGATTGTATTTATGAATCAAACCAAATTCGGTTATTGGCAATCATTATTGGAAAAAAAAATAGATAAATATTTGGAAGTAAATATTTAAATTCGATGAAATTGAATTTAACTTTTTAAACGAAATTATATAAACACATTTTCAAAATCTGAAATCGAATGTTATTTGTATTTATATTTTATAAATCTATTTTGCAAAGGCTATTCAAAACAAAAAAAAAACAAAAAAAACGAAGTTATAAGTTATAACATTGGCAAGAATATTTTGAAAGGATAAAATAAAAGTAATTACTTATAATCCCTCAAGAGTGACGTCAGCATTTTGTGTCTTCCATGTTATTTTCTGATCACGGGACCCGGGTTCGAATCTCACCGTGGACGATTAGTGAAGGAGGTGATAATATCAGCCTGTGGAGTCGTTGAGGAGTGTTTGAATACCATCGCCCGGGTGGACCCAGGCCATGTGAAAGAAATTCGTGAGTCAAACTGTTCAGAAGCCAATTAATAGATCTCCATCTTCAAATGGCAACTTCATCAATTGTAACTAAAATGGTGTATCTATAAAAGCAGCCATCATGGATATATATCGACCTAAAAAGAAAGAAATCACTGAAATTAATCTGAGTTCGCTCTCTGCTGAGGGCGGAAAACGGCGTAATAGGAGAAGTGTCATCAATCTCATATTTATCAAAATATCATATATCATATTTCTAACAATGTTACCATATAAGGTCATCATATTTCTAACAATATTACCATAAAAGGTCATCATATGTCAGACAATATTACCATATAAGGACATTATATTTCTAACAATATTAGATATTTCTAGACAGTATATATTCGTTTGACTCCTTCTCTCTCTCTCTCTCTCTCTCTCTCTCTCTCTCTTTCACTCACTCACTCACTCACTTTCTTTCTAGTTTGATTCACCCCTGTCTGTTTCCTTTCTTTGTTCCTTTCTTTCTTGTTTGATTTCCGTCCTTTTCTCTATTTTTTTCTTCTTTATTTATTTCTTTTTTGTCTCAACTCCCTTCTTTCTCGGTCTTTCTTTCTTTCTTTCTTTCTTTCTTTCTTTCTTTGCGTTATAGTCCAATGTCACGTTTCTTTCTTTCTTTCTTTCTTTCTCTCTTTCATTCACATACTTTCTTTTTCTATGTAACTTTCTTTCTTTTTTGTTTGACTCAACTCCTTTTCGTTTCTTTCTTTCTTTCTTTCTCGTTTTCTTGTTGATTCCCCTTATTTCCTTTTCTTTCTTTTAATTCATTCATTCATTCTTTCTTTCTTTCTTTTTCTATTCTTGTTTGACTCAGTGACAATCCTTTCTTTGCTTCTTTATTTCTTGTTTGACTCACACCCTTTCCTTTTCTATCTCTTTTTCTTTTTCTTTCTTGTTTGACTCACATGCTTTCCGTTTCTCTTTCTTTCTTTCTTTCTTTCTTTTTTTCTTTCTTTCTTTCTTTCTTTCTTTCTTAATCGTTTTTCTCAAATCCTCCCCTTTTCGGTTCTTTCTTTCTATCTTTCTTTCGCTCGTATGGTCGTGTGTTCTTTCTTTCTTTCTTGTTTGACACCTTTTCTTTTATTTCATTCTTTTCTTTCTTTATTTTTTTTATTTATTGTATGACTCAACTTCTTTCCTTTACGTTTCTTTCTTTCTTTCTCTCTTTCTTGTTTGACACACATGCTTACCGTTTCTATGTTTCTATCTTTCTTTGGTTCTTTCTTTCTTTCTTTCTTCCTTTCTTTCTTTCTTTCATCCCTTTTACATTTCTATCTTTATTTATTTCTATTATTTCATACAATATTAACTGAAAACGACTCTAAATATTTCAAAGCATTTATATATATAAAACAGAGAATATCTGTCTGTCTGTATGTCTTTGTGATACTTTTTCACTCGAGATCCATCCAACCGAAACTTGGCAGATACATTGTACAATGAAAGAGATAGGTTCTTAGCGTAAAAAATCGATATTTTTTTTTTAAAAAATCAATCATCGATAAAGCCGATCAAAAATTGATGGAATCAACTTTTCCCTCCGATTTCGTTCAAACGCGGTATGTAGGTTACTTACATCATGACGAGCTCAACGATACTGACTTTCAAAGACGAATGTCTGCTTATATATGCCAAGTGTTCGTTAAACTCGATATAAATTTACTGTAGCTCCTTAAATTACTGAAACTCAACTTAGTAAAGATGTCTTAATTAATTTGTATCTGTCAAGTAAGGTGTCCCTTGCTTCTTAGGAATATACGTCAATCATTTTTTTTTTACTAAGGCGATTGATTTTAGTCATCACCCCGACAGATTTTTATCACTTGAATTATTTTTAATGGATACACATATTTGAAAAGACGCTCCATTTATTTATTAAACACTAGCAATAGAGACCGGCGTTGCCCGGGGATGTAACAGTAAGAGATAGATCAAGTATCGACCATCATAAAGACTTAAAATAAAATTGACAAAGATTATTGTTTCAAAATGACGGACACGCATGTCTTAATTATGTTTTTTTTTTTTGTTTTTTATTTTTTTTACGAATTGGTCAAACCCAAACTCAAACAAAAACATTGTTTTCAATCGTTTTGAGTCTACTGATTGAATAGAATTTTATTATAAACAATTGTCTTGTAAATGGAATTTTAAAGCATTCTGAATGTAAAATAAAGAAAAAAAATGTGCAAGACAATAAGAAACAGTACCTGCCAAAAAAAAAAGTGAAGTTTTGTTGAAATCGGTTGAAAAATGTTGGAAATCCGATCCCATATATAAACGAACACACACACACACACACACACAAACAACCTGGGTTTTTATAATAAGTATAACTCGATATGAGTTGTCCTCCTTTCATTCTCGCGATGCCTCTTAACCGCATTTTTCAAATTGATTCTGTGCAAAAAACAATTGTGTTTTCCAATTTTTGAAATGGACAAACCACCGCAAGGTAATTTTACGTAGTCCTTTGAAGTTTTGTTGAAATCGGTTGAAAAATGTAGGAAATCCGATCCAATATATAAACGAACAGACACACACACACACACACACACACACACACACAACCTGGGTTTTATAATAAGTATGATTATATTTAAGCCTCTCTACCAGATGTAATTTTCATCGGTGCACACTTACTAATATATGAGCACCATCTTTATATGGGTTAATTTAACGATATGTTAAAGTTTTAATGGATTATTTACTGTCGACTGTATCAGACAGAACCTACAATAAATGAATACATAGGCAGAAATACGTCCGATGTATAACAGATTCAAAAAGAGGCATTGCCTTGGTTAATACGCGTGTGAAAAAGTAGACACAGGTCCGATTTGCAATAAAAAGGTGGACAGATAAAGTTTACGATAGATCAAAAAAGGCACACTTACACTAAATTTAAAAAGTTAGAAACAGTCTGTACTGGATAAAAAAATAAACATAGCAACCTTTTACACTCGAATGAAAAAAACGTATATATAGATCCAGCTTACATTAGAATCCTGAAGTAGAAACATTTCCGGTTTACACTAGTGTCAAAAGGTAAACACGGTTTGCACTGGATAAAAAAATATAAACAACACCGAATGAAGAAGTTATATATATATATATATATATATATATATATATATATATTTTTATGTTTATATATTCTTTTTATGGATACAAATATTTAAGTAAAAAGAATGTATAAACATAAAAATCTCTTAAAATAATTGTTGGACATATATACATACATATACACACATATACATATATATATATATATATATATATATATATATATATATATATATATATATATATATATATATATATATATATATATATATATATATATATATATATATATATATATATATATATATATATATATATATATATATTTATTAGGAAATGGACATATATATATTTAAGACATTTTATATATATATATATATATATATATCGAAAATTATAACATAAATATGTTATAAAATCACTACAAAAATAGCGATTTTATTCCAACACTTCTGGTGTCATATCAGGTGATGGTGTTGAATGTAGAATAAAGATTTTTAAAAGGTTCAAATCGAACAAACAACCGTTGATAGGAGAAACGCTGTTACATAAACTGCAATGACCAATCAAAATACAAGTATATAAGAATTCAAAAAACTTGACAACGTACCTTGGTTATAATTATTAATGCTTTTATGTTAGGGTTAGACTAAAATAGAAATCATTCTGACTAATTAATATTAAATTTTACTATAAAATTGAGAACTAAAAATTACCAATTTAAAAATTTTAAATTTAATCTCTATTAAAAATTTAAAATTATTTAAAGAAGAAACTGAGGAAAAAAAAAAAAAAATATATATATATATATATATATATATACCCGGTTAAGGCAGTGGAGAACTTTCAGAGGGAAATTAACAGGAGATAACTGATAACTGACATCCATTAAACATGTCACGTGGAACTAGAACAGTCTACCCCAGTGAGTGAAATAAAGGGTTCAGTTCGACATTCCAAGGCCGGAGCGTACAACGGCCGAAACGTTGTAATAAATATGGCGACAAAGATGAGGACGATAGTCCGTATAATGTAAATAATGTATATATATATATATATACATATTGTGTGTATTTAGGCAGCATATTTTCATTTATACACGTTTCATTAAATAATATAGACAAGTGTTGTCTATTTATTTTATGTAAAATTTGTTCGTAACTTCTGATAAGTTTGATAACATTATCATTAAACGAAGAAAGAAATTCACAATATTGATCCATTATTTTTTAATATAATCTAAGCTTTCGGCTTACTTAAGCCATTATCAAAGATGTAAATCACAAACATATTAAACAATATACGGACACGACAGTGATGATAGTCTGTCATTGTTTTGTAGTGGATCACTAAGCAACGATAAACACGCGCATATAAGACGCTAGAAGCGAAAATCGCACCGCATCTCATGACGTCACACATGACTACACGAGTGAATTGTAGAATGAAATAAGGAAAGCCGTTGGTATAAACCAATGGCTTCTGTTACCAATTATAGAAATTATAGACATTTAAGAATATTTGTAGACATGCCATAATTGATTTTGTTTTAGGTTGGGTTTTAACTGTTTGATGTATAATGCTTCAAGTATTTTTTAGTTTTTGTCTATTGTTTTCATGTCGAAGTATAGTTGTGTTTTCGACAAGTATTTTACGGAATTGTGTGTGCGGACAGGCATGTTGTTTTAAATGCCTAAAAATGTTAGAGTTTTCATTAAAATGTAGTGTCAAGCGTCGTGAAAAGCGAGTTTGTGGTGTGACCAACATAAATATTATTTAATTCGTTGGAGATACACTCTCCCAAAGGGCACTTGAATTTATAAACTATGTTGGTTTTTTTTTAAATCGCTAACCGGGGAGAAGAATCATTGCGAAGTATTAAGTTGGATATACTAGATTTAGTGTAGTATATGATTAATTTAATTTTTTTTGCTAGGATCTGTAGTTGATATATTAGAATTTACTATTTTTTTTAGTATGTTTTCATCTTGTTTATAATTAGTATGCATTTGATTACGATATAGGAGATTAATATATTTGAGATCAGTAGAAGCAGTATTATGTACAATTTGCTTATTATTGAGATTTCTAAGAAAGCATCTTATTTGTTCATCAACTATATAGTTTGGAAAGCTATTATTAATAAGTGTCTGTTTTATATTCTTTAGTTCACTGTAAAAAATCTGTTTGGTGGATGAATTAGTTTCTGCACGATGTATTAGATTCTTTATAATTGCTATTTTGTAGTAATATGGGCATTCGCTCTTGTAGTTAAGTGTACATGAATTTATGCTTGTAGGTTTTTTGTATGGCGAAATAGTAAATTTGTTATTATTTGTGTTTATCAATATGTCAAGGAAGGGGATTTTATTAGTAGTATTGAGTTCATATGTGAATTTAAGGACAGAATTATTTTGGAACCGTTTTTGAAGTTGAATTATTTCATCTGTATTTTTAACTAACATAAGAATATCATCAACGTATCTTAGGTAGATTGATGTTTTTTTAAAATCTGTAAATAACTTATTTTCGAGGTTCGACATGTAGAAATTGCTAAATGTCGGGCCCAATACTGAACCCATGGAGACATCATCACGTTGTATATATATATATATTGTTATTATGATCGAAGAAAGGGACTTCAGTAGTACAAGTTAATAGTAGTTTTCTTAATATATTAGGATTAATTTTAAGTGGGGGTAAAGATGAGTTACTGTATATATTTCTTATGATTATGTCAATAGTTTCACTAACAGGGATATTGGTAAATAAGTTTTCAACATCAAGTGAAGCCATGATTTCATTGTCAGGTTTTTCACTTTTTAGGATTTGGATTACTTCTAATGTTGACTTAACACTATATTTACTAGGAAGATAGGGAGTAATAAGTTGGTTGATGTATTTTTGTTAGATGATATACAGGAGTTGGAATTTGCGATATGATAGGACGGAGAGGATAGTTAGGTTTATGTGTTTTTATAGTGCCATATATGTAGCCAGGTCTATAATCACCAACAATTTTAGGGAGTTTTAAAGAGTTCTGTTCAGCATTATTAGCATTAATAAGTTTATTAAGCTTTGATTTTAGTTGGTTGGTCGGGTTCTTGTTAAGTTTTTTAAACTTTATGTGATCATGGAGTATGTGGTCTAGTTTTTTGTTGCAATCCAATTTGTTTAGGATGACAAAAATGTTGGTCTTATCTGCTTTTTTTACAATAATGTCAGGGTGGTTACGTAGTTCTGTGCGGCAATTTTCAGTTGTTTAGAAAGAATTTTTGAGGAGTTTCTGCTTTTATCATGTCGATCTTTCAATGCCTCGGCCTTAAGTAAGTCTTTAAATTCTGGTGTAGTTTCTATTAGTTGTTCATCCTGGAGTTTAACGATGTTTTGGTATAGGGTCTCAATTTCTATTTTTTTAAAAAGTCGATTGTACTTACGGTATATATGGCAGTTAGGTCCAAGGTTAAGTAATTCTTTTTGGTGCTTAGTTAGTTCATAGTTGGAAAGGTTAATGTATTTATCAGTTTTGTTAGGAAGAGTGATATTACCTTTGTATAATGTATTCAGTTTTTTTATAATTTTAATTCGGTGTTGAGCTTCAGATTTATTGGTAATTTCCGTGAGTCTATATATATATGCACATTTCATTGAATACGTCAGAGAAAGTGCTTTGATTTAGTTTTTTATATAATTTCTCATGTGATCTAATATTTTCTTTTCTTTTCAGATGATAAATTATATAAAAACTGTCTGAATGTTTTCTTTTATCTGAAGGCTATGCATTTAGCCATTTTCAAATGTGAAATATTTTATTAATAAAAACAAAAAAAAACACTTAATAATGTCAACTATGAATATGGACACAATATCTTGATCGTGTTTTGAAAATGAAAACATTGTATAAATTCATAAACAAAATAAACTTTCTTAAAATAAAAAATATATAAAATAAGAAATAAAATTTCTTATTTAACAATTAAAATATTTCAACCTTGACAATGGCTAAACGTATAGCCGAAAGAGCTTGGATAAAAAGAACATTCGGACAGTTTTTATATAATTTATCATCATTACAATCTTTGCTTTCTATCTTTGTACATAAATACGCAAGGAATACGTAACGAGGCCAAAGTGTATCGGGTGTAACAGTAAAATTGTCCAAATCGTGTAAAAGCAAAACTGTCCATTTCTGAGATCAACCTTTCAATCGTTGTATCATAGAAATGGTTAAAGATATTATACCGGAATTCTCCGGAGTTTTTATAACACTATTGAACTCTGAGCAAAAAGAATATATAAAGGCTCTCCAAGTTTAAAAAGAATCGTGATGAAATCGATCACAAATAAAAATGACATGTTCATCATTAATTAATCATAGCTAAGGATCGGAAGCTCATGAAGGATTGGAATAAAGTTCAAATATATATATATATATATATATATATATATATATATATATATATATATATGTGTGTGTGTGTGTGTGTGTGTGTGTGTGTGTGTGTGTGTGTGTGTGTGTGTGTATAATTCCAGGATCATTTTCCAACTTATTCAAGATGAACTTTGTCCTTTCTAACCTCCTAACTTTCTGTCCTGGAGTAACAATTGCCTCACAGGTTTCACGTTCGATTTCATTTTCACGTCTTTTTTCACTGCTCTTTGGACTGTCATATCTGAAACTCCTCTCTCACGTGCCAGACGTCTTATGGATTGAGTTGGATCTTTTCTAATTGATCTCTTTAGCTCTATGTTGAAATGATGATCCCTCTTCCTGTTGTGACCTCTTGATCCAATTTTCTCTCTACTGTACCCTCTTATTTAAACTTACCGTTCTCTTGATGGTTCTTGAAGATGGAAGCCAAAGTATGAATGTCGGTACCATTAATAAAGGTCTGAATGATCTTTTTTCTCTCACCATTGCTCAGCTGGGAAAACATAGTGGGGCTGACGCAAAACGAGTTTAACCTGTTCTCTTTCTAGCTGAATAAAAAGGATTTTTTCAGTTATTCTTACGACAAATGGTATCTTGATGGTCCCCTTGAACTTGGCGAATAGAAATGTCACAAGGAGCAGAATTAGGTTAATAGAGAGATTTTTTTTCCAATACGAGCTTCTTCTGGGCCGGATACTCAGGGCGTTGTGAATAAGTGCATTGTCGTGGTGACGCATCCACGATTTGTTCTACCACAGCTCTCATCTCTTCTCGTACACTGAGAGAAGAAGCTGCTAAAAGTACAGTTATATATGCCCAAGGTATCATGTTAGATGGTAACACAATCCGCTTATCCTCCTTTCGGCCATATCTCACCCGTCCTAGGTATGACGATAAACTACATCCAGCAGCAAGATCAGGAGGTTTTGAGGAGCGTGGAATCACCTCTTAATTGCTGTTTTTCCCAGGCCCACCCTCATTTATTAGCATTTGTTAGGGCCCCAGATAGGGGGAAATAGTGAAAACCCCTAACTGGGGTCAAAACAGTATGAACGTATGAAAATAGATTTTTATAGTAAAAATGCCAACAATATATTTTTGAAAAAAAATATTACCAGCCAAACATTTTTGACAAAATAATTATTACCAGCAATAGATTTGACTCTCGGCAAAGACCCTCTTTACAAAACTACGTCAATGAAACCTGATCTACACACTGATTTCTTACAGAGAATACATATTCTATTTATAACAAACCTATGCTAAAAATCTTCTCGGCATTAAATAACCCATTGAGGTGTTGATGTGCCGTAAAACAAAATAAACCAAACCCATACATCACACGGCACACACAGCATACTTTTCAGACAGATCTCGTATATACCAATTAATCTCTCTCTCTCTCTCTCTCTCTCTCTCTCTCTCTCTCTCTCTCTCTCTCTCTCTCTCTCTTACTTTCTCTGTCTCAATCTCTCTTTCGCCCGTTCCGGTACCCGCTCACATTCTATCTATCTCTCTTTCGCCCGCGCCCGCTCTCTCTCTTTCTCTTTCGCTCATTCGTTCGCTCTCTTTTTCGTCCGCTTCTACGCCTGCTCTCTCTTTCTCGCCCTCTCTTTCGCTCGCTCTCTTGCTTTCTCTCTCTCTAACTTTCTCTTTCGTCCGCTCTCTCTCTCTCTCTTTCTCTCTCTCTCTTTCTCTCTCTCTCTTTCTCTCCCTCTCTTTCGTTCGCTCTCACACCAGCACTCTGTTTTGCTCACACTTGCTCTCTCCCTCTCTCTCTCTTTCGCGCACTCCCGCGTCCGCTCTCTTTCTCTCTCTCTTTCGCCCACTCCCGTGACCGTTCTCTTTCTCTCTTTCACTCACTCGCTCGCTCTCTTTCTCTTTCTCACTCTCTCTTTCGCCCGCTCCAGTCCTCTCTCTCTCTCTTTCTCTCTCTCTTTCGCTCACTCGCTCGCTATATGCCTAATTCTATGGAAATATATTGAGATAAGAGAGTCCATTAAACACAGAGACTGTCGAATGTCTGGAGAATTCGAGAGGGTGTCGAAAATGATTGGAGGGCCTGATACCGTGGCACACGTACCAATCCCTACCCTCGGTAAACCCCAACAACTCCCACACCCATATCTTTGATTATAAGTAATATCTAATAAGTCTACGTAATTATATTTATTTGGGTTCACTAGGAGAGAAAATGATCGTCGAATAATGACTAAATGGATGTCGAACTGAAGTTTCTTCGAAGAATATTTCAAGTCTCAGATTTCTTGACAGACCATCGATACATCAGAAGTGTATCATTTATTTGGCTGTCTGGCGAATAACGAATACATCCGTTTGCTATTCTATAACAGGATATTGGTGAGATAATAAAATTTCACACGCGCACATCCATGCAGAACACTTGCCTAATGTCAAATTCTCGTTAGCCGTAAAGTCTCACGAGAGAAAGAATGAGATCACCATTGGACGCATCGTAGTAGGGAACAGAATGAACTCACGTTTATAGATATCGGGTGTAACTGCAAAATTGTCCAAATCGTGTAACAATAAAATTGTCAAGTTTTGAACCGTTGTATCTTAGAAATGATTAAAGATATCTTACTGGACTCTACTTTATAAATACTCTCCAAGGTTAACAGAAGAATCGTGATGAAATTGGTCATAAATGAAAATGATATGTACATCATTAATTAATCATAGCTAAGGATTGAAAGCTCATGCAAGATTGAAATAATGTTCGTATATATATATATATATATATATATATATATATATATATATATATATATATATATATATATAACTTAAAGAAAAACAGACCAATTTCAGGTTCCATTTGTAATAATTTATTTCATCAGAGAATTTTATTTTTCTCTGGATCTTCAGACTTCACTTTCAAAAGGTGAAACGGAGAATAAATTTAAAATTTACACTTTCGACGGGCAGTATTAAGCTTATATAAGTTGACATAGAAGGTGGTGAGGAATGGTGTGAAAGACATGTCCGATTTTAGAGAGGAAAGAAAGTTTTAAAATTTATTTTTATATTTTATATATATACATATAAATAAAAGAAGAAATATAGTATTAAGAAGTTCTATATTTATGGGATAAAGTGTTCAATATTAGAGATAGAGCGTGTATAAATATAAAAGTGAACATAGAAGTCAAAACTTAGAGGCGACAGTCTGTTTCATGCTAGATGCAATCGTCAGGCCAGTATATATATATATATATATATGTGTGTGTGTGTGTGTGTGTGTGTGTGTGTGTGTGTGTGTGTGTGTGTGTGTTATTCCAGGATCATTTTCCAACTTATTCAAGATGATCTTCGCTCTCTCTAATCTTCTAACTTCCTGTCCTGGAGTAACAAGTTGCCTCAGAGGCTTCACGTACGATTTGATTTTCAAGTCTTTTTTTCACTGCTCTTTGGGCTGTCATAGCTGACACTCCTTTCCCATGTGCCAAACGTCTTATGGATTGAGTTGGATCTTTTCTAATTGATCTCTTTTGCCCTAAACGATTTTGACACGAAACGATTTTAATCTGTTCTCTTTCCAGCTAAATAACTAAATGGGTTTTTCAGTGATTCTTACGACAAATGCTATCAAGATGGCTAAACGTCTTATCTAAAAACCTGTAAAAAGAAAGTCAATTTGTTTAGCGTTTTTTTTTAGATATTAAACATTTTCTAGATTGACAATTATGCTGTTACACGATTTGGACAATGAATTGAATTCTAAATTGTCCTTCTCTTAGACACAAGGCTAAGGTATATATATATATATATATATATATATATATATATATATATATATATATGTGTGTGTGTGTGTGTGTGTGTGTGTGTGTTTGTATATATATATATACACACAGGAAGAAATATAGTCTTAAGGTGTGCTATATTTATGGGATAAAGTGCTCAATATCAGAGATAGAGCGTGTGTAAATATAAAAGTGAACATTGAAGTCAACACTTAGAGGCCTTAGTGATGACTTCACTGTTCACTTTTTTATATATATATATATATATAGAGAGAGAGAGAGAGAGAGATTCACACCTTTCCCAAGGATATTTACTGCATAAGTGAAAGGAAATAACTGGAATTCGAACCCGTTTCTCTGATTACGCATTCCAAACTGTTATTCATTACGCCAACCGCATATTCTCAGATCAAGTTAGATATTTATCAGTACCCACACTACTATAGAGAGATGGGATAATTATTATCGAGACTCGTGAGGTTGACCATTACTAGCGAGAAATAGATACAATCCTCACTGGTTGGCACATCACAATAAGAGTACGATGGATAAATTGTCCTCTAAATGAAAATAACACTGATATCTCATTTGAACAGATATATTTATCAAAATTACACAAAAAAATATCCTGAAATTCTAAGTTTATTCAATAAAATCGATATTTAGTATCTGTCTATATTTCTGAGATGAGGTATTATGTACACTATTTACATTATTCGGACTATTGTCCTTATCTTTGTCGCCATATTTATTACAACGTTTCGGCCTTTCAATATCTGTCTATATTTCTGGGATGAGGTATTATGTACACTATTTACATTATTCGGACTATTGTCCTCATCTTTGTCGCCATATTTATTACAACGTTTCGGCCCTTCAGTATCTGTCTATATTTCTGGGATGAGGTATTATGTACACTATTTACATTATTCGGACTATTGTCCTCATCTTTGTCGCCATATTTATTACAACGTTTCAGCCTTTCAATATCTGTCTATTTCTGCCTTTTCAATATCTGTCAATTTCTGAGATGCGGTATTATGTACACTATTTACATTATTCGGACTATTGTCCTTATCTTTGTCGCCATATTTATTACAGCGTTTCGGCCTTTCAATATCTGTCTATATTTCTGAGATGAGGTATTATGTACACTATTTACATTATTCGGACTATTGTCCTCATCTTTGTCGCCATATTTATTACAACGTTTCGGCCTTTCAATATCTGTCTATATTTCTGAGATGCGGTATTATGTACACTATTTACATTATTCGGACTATTGTCCTCATCTTTGTCGCCATATTTATTACAACGTTTCGGCCCTTCAGTATCTGTCTATATTTCTGAGATGCGGTATTATGTACACTATTTACATTATTCGGACTATTGTCCTCATCTTTGTCGCTATATTTATTACAACGTTTCGGCCCTTCAGTATTTGTCTATATTTCTGAGATGAGGTATTATGTACATTATTTACATTATTCGGACTATTGTCTTCATCTTTGTCGCTATATTTATTACAACGTTTCGGCCCTTCAGTATTTGTCTATATTTCTGAGATGAGGTATTATGTACATTATTTATATTATTCGGACTATTGTCCTCATCTTTGTCGCCATGTTTATCACAACGTTTCGGCCGCTGTACGCTCCGGCCTTCTTCAACCCTTTATTTCCCTCACTGGGGTAGACCGTCCTTGTTCCACGTGCCATGTTTAATGGATGTCAGTTATCTTCTGACCTTGTTATTCCCCTCTAAAAATTCTCCAGTACCTTAACCAGGTATTGAACTCACACTCCTTGGTTCCTGTCACTGGATCTAACTAACGCTTTTATCCACTGTGCCATGTGTCCTTGAGAACAGTCTACCCCAGTGAGCGAAATAAAGGGTTCAGTTCGACAATCCAACCACCTGAAGAAGGCTGAAGCGTACAACGGCCGAAACGTTGTGATAAACATGGCGAAAAGTAATGTAAATATTGAAAATTGATATTGGCTTCAACTATGGCCTCTAGACTGCTTCCAAATCTCTTGAAACTCTTCTGGGGGGGTCTCCTTGTTTAAGTTGGCGAATGCTGCCATAATCGTTGCTTTCAGTTCATCTTTGGCGTTACAAGGCGTTTTGTTGCTCTCTCGTTCAACTGCACCATACACATAATAATAATCAGGCGAGTTGCAGTCTGGGAAGTTAGGTGCCCAGATGTAAGGGGTAATTTTGCTGCAGAAATTGTCTGACAGCCATGACCGGGTTCTCCTGATGTGATAAGGTGCAGAGTACTTTTGCCAGACATAATATCTTCCAGCACCCACTCTCTTGATTCAGGGTAACACTACCTCCTCAACACACTTGATGATAGGCCTCCGTGTTGATTTTAAGGCCTTCACTATCAAATTTGGAAGTTTGCACTTCTCCCCAAAATTTTATTTTGAATGGTCAATGTATGGCTATTTTAGAGGGGGTGATGGACAGACGAACGGAAGTTACAGAATTTTATATATAGATAATTCTCCACTCAAATTTTGCAAGTACAGGTGTGTTTTTTTTATAAATAAAAAATATGTTTCTTATTACCAAAAGTATATTTTCTTAATCCAAGGTATGATGGATAAATTGTCATCTAGATTTTTAAAAAATAAAAATAACACTGACATCTCAATTCAACAGATATATTTACCAAAATTACGCAAAAATATCTTGAAATAATAAAAGTAAATTTATTTAATAAAAATCGCCATTGGCTTCAGCCACAGTCTCCAGACGACCTCGGAATCTCCTGCATTACTTCTGGGCGGTTTCCTTGTCTAAGTTAGTGAATGATGCCATAATCCTTGCCTTCAGTTCATTTTACAACGAGTTTTTTTTTGTTCTCATTCAACTGAGTCCCATGCATAATAATCAAGCAGGGTGAAGTCTGTGGAGTTAGGTAGCCAGATGTAAGGGGTGATGTGGGCACAGAAATTGACTGACAGCCATGGCTGGGTTCACCTGCTTGTGTGGCATGGTGCAGAGTCCTGTTGCCAGACATAGAATCTTCCAGTAGCCACCCTCTTGACCCAAGACAGAGCTTACTCTTTAAGGCACTTGATATAGGCCTCCATGTTGAGTCTGAGACCCTTTGGAGGGATAAATGGAGGCATAACATTGCCATCACTAGCGATCACTCCAACACCTTCGTAATCACCATTAGACTCATCCACCTTTTTTCCGTATCCTCTGCACTGTCCTCATATTGAAAACGAAATAATCTGAAATGTTCGTCTTCGATCTTCCGGTACGAATGCCAAACAGTACAGCATGCCGTTTCCAAATTTCTGGTGGAGTGAATTACGTAATGGTGCTGTTTTTCTCACAGACGTTGCC